CAAACTAATTCATGCCCCATTAATTTAATGGCCCACTACATTAACATGTATTAGCACAGAAAGTATCTGTTATATGCTAACACTATTTAATCTGCATTTCAGGTTGTATATAATAGCAGGAATAATTTAAATCTCACTGATTCTAAGTATGAAATATCTAACAGTTTTATTTGAATGACAATTAAATCCTCCTCTAGAATCATGGAGAGGTGAAAAATCTGTAGAAACTACACTTCTGAGTAAAGAAGAAACTTCATGTATTTGTTGAAAAATATTTAAGACAGCTGACAGCACTAATACTTTCATTATTATTTAAAATTTATAGGTACACTGACAGTGATATGGTCTGCTACTGAAAATTTTAGATGTAGAAATGTAATAATAAAAACTACCAGGCATAAAAGATGGCATTGCTACTCATAATTCTTAAATGATTTGGGTTCAATCACCTCCGTGAGCACCAAAAACAGCTTCTCTTAAGAAAATGAGTATCACAGCTACATTTTGGGAGTTTTATTAAACAAAATCCACAGATTTTAAACATTTTAATACCAGAAGATGCCAAGTACAGTCATGTTGACTCCAATGCTCTCATTTCTTCATGCACTCTTTCCAATACCACAACGCTGTCAACTAAAGATTGTTTTACATGAGAAGCAAAGAGGGGACACTGCTGATAGTCAAAGGTACTCTTCTGGCACGTAACTGGAGCAGCGGAGTGGCACAGGGGTGGATAATCATGTTTCATCTTAGAAAGTTCTTACAAGAAGTGCAAAGGTTTGATCATCATCATATCCTGATGTTTATTAACTAATCTTATATTTATACATTGATACTTATGTAGATGTTAGTTTAGTAATCTGAGTCTTGATAACTACCAGCAGGCCTGTAAAATTTACTATGCATAAAATGTAACATTTAGTGAAACAATTCATGACCATTACCAGGCGTCCTCCCTAGGTTTTTCTCGAATGGAAGGATGGTCATGAGCATGTACAGGTCTCAATGATTTCTGAGGGCATTTTTATACATTCTCTAAAGGAGCACATTCAGGTTATAAGATAAATTAAGGCTACAATTTCCAAACGTCATTTGAAAATCAATTGTTTGGAATTTAGGACCAATTCAAGGCAGTTTGCCTTGCAGCTATAGATAGAATTTTATGCATTTGAAATGAATGTGGAATGGAAACAATAAAATTCAAGTGAAAACCAGAAAGTAAAGACTTCAAAATTTAAATCTCTGACAACACATGGTAGTCTACCTTTCCCAAACCACCTTCTCTGTCAACACAAAACAGGCCGCAATTCACTGTGGTCCCAGTCCCTCCACAGACCACCCAGGTTCAGAGATCCCACACCTGGGCTATGGCTCAACCTGTCAGACCCAGTACAAGAAAGCAGGAACAACTCTTTTCTATTTTAGACAGTGAACTCCTTAGAAACTTAATAATCCCAGTAACTAAACAGTGTTTCACACGCAATTTGCTGAATAAATGAGAAGACAAGTTACCTTGAGGGATTTTAAATTATGTATCATATAGTCCCTTCGCTCAAGAAGCTTTTAAATGCATATGGGAGAGAGAAGAACACAAAAAAAATAGTTCTGAGGTCAGGCATTATATGATAGCCAGGTGCGGTGACAACCACCCTAACTGTCACTGGAGGTTGAGAATCTAGCCCTGTCTTACTGATTCATTAAAAAATGTTCACAGAATCCCCCCACTATGCATCAGGTGTGTCGTGTTGTTAGGTGAGGGATACAGAAACAATGATGATGCACACAGTATGAGCCCTCAGGCTGCCCCCAGTTTCTGTCCAGGGATTCTGTCAAGAATGAGATGCTAGCCCTCTGGTGATCCTTGAGCCTCCCTTGGCAGTTTCAACAACTGCCACATGAACTGGACGGACTTCAAGCACCTAATCTGCACCAACTGTAACCACATGTAAAGGGGGAACATGTGAAACGCTTGGAAACTACAGCTGCTTTCTGGTCACATACTACTGAGGCATTATAAATGCTACTGTGGGGTAAAATTGCAAAATTTCCAGAATCCCCCACCTGCCCTTAGCCTATTTCCATATACTGCTGCTTCCCGCAGCCTCCAGGGACAAGGGATGGAGAGAGGCTGTTCTCTCCTCCCCTCTGTTGTGCGACTGGTCTGGCACCTGTCAGTCGCTGAGGATCTGCCCATGGAGTTTCTCCCGGAAGGGGTACGGGGAGAAGCATGCATGTGCCCTGTCCGGCGGGATGGGGGGTGACAGCAGTGGAAGCCTGAGGGGAAGAATGGAGCCAGGCCTCATGGTGAACAATAAACAGGTTTCTCCCAGTCTAACATTTCCTCAGACCAAATTCGGTCACACCAGTTTACTCACCCCACTCCAGGAACATGCTTCCCATGAAGCTACAGCTACTGTATTGTATTAAACTGAAATGTATCACGCATTCCCTATTTATGAAGCTTTTTGCCTGGGAGCACCAAGCAAAGAGCAGGTGAATAAATGAAGAAAAATTAGGTATTTTGGGCAACACAAAGTCATCATTGGAAAACACCTGCAAGAAGTATGAAAGCTGGCCATTTTTAAAGTGAATTTTGTGCTTTAAATAATCATCCCTCTATTCACTTATTTTGAAAACTGAGTTTTCATATATGATCTTTCTCTAAGCAGAATATACTTTTGTACAATTTTCTGTCCCATAGTACAGATCATTTCTATATGAGGCTGGTTTATCAGCAGTTAAAAATAAATATTTATGGGTACTTATAATGTACAAAGCATTGTACAGAATATTCTAGCAGAATTTTACTTCAGTTTCCATTACTAAACTGACACAAAATGAAATGATCTGGATAGGCTTGTCTCATTTTCAACAAACTATCATTTAAGATCTTCTGTCACACTTTTCCAATCCTGGGTCTACGCATACAAACAGAAACACTCCCTGAAAATCCTCCCAACAAAAAATTTTCTTCCTCCAAACATTTTCAATGACAGGATCTGCATTATGAAGTCTCATTCAGGAGAAATGAAATTCTTAAAAATAGTGAGGGGGGAGCAAGGGAAAAATGAAATGCTTCAGCTGACAACTACCTTAACCATTAATTACATAAATGAAAGGAAGGTATACAACTGGCTTTCTGTGTCTCAGTGAGGACTGGGCAATGCTGGCTTCACCATGCTCGGAAGGTCAATGCTGAGTCTGTGCAGGGGATGGGGTAGAATCTATCTGAACATAAGGTGGATGTTAAGAGACAGATTCTTGGAATCAACTCACCCGAAGAGGAAGGGAAGAGGTCTTACCAGACTGCAGCAGAATTAAAGATTCCTTTTCACACTTCCCCTGCAAACTGCCTGACTCCTTGTTTACTACTGATGCATTCTGTGTCTTGGGAACTTCTGTGCCTGTCCCCCCCACTCAACCTCTCACGGAGCCTTTTCTCATTCAGGGTCTCACCAAGAGATTCACACCCTCAGCAGGGTCACTGTCAAAATCCCCTCCTTACAAGGACAAGTTTTCCTACCAGTGTAACTGAGTATTGTTGCAGTTACACATTGCTATAGTAATCATTTAACCGTTAAGTGTACGTACTAAACAATTTAAAGTATTATTTGATTAACTACTATAGAAAACATATTTGGGAGATAAATAATCACACGTCCACATATTTGTAAACATTTAAGAGTTAACTATCATTGCAATACTGAAAGAGCATACAAAATTTTCCATTTTCTAGGACCTATACTCAATTACATATCACACTGATATCATATATCCTTACACTGTATTATCCATCATTACACAGCAAGTTGAAATTCACATCTTTGTTTGATGTACTTTAAACACAACTTAGTCATGTTTTTAACGTGTCAAACAACTAAAATTGTTTCCAAATGTTTGAGGTTTGTAATAGGTGAAATGTGCCACATCAGGCTTTGTTCTTAATAATAAATGCTGTGATTCTTTTGAAATATTATGCCATGCCTGTCTCTGATTTATTTATATTTCTCCCTCTCCCAAACCCCTGCAATCCACACTTATACATACACACAGTCATATACATGTACTTTAAAAACTGTTTTTTGTATTTTAATGCCAGAACCTCTTTTTCTTAAAAGCTTCATCTCTTTTTTGTTATAATAATTATGTAAGTATACAAACTTTCAAAATGAGAGTAAGGAAAATCAGCCCCAGGCGGCACACTAGTAGCATAGTTCCAAAAGAGTACCATTTTAGTAATGATCATTTTTTAACATTATAGCATTTTTTATACTAAAGAAATTTCTAGAAAAATAGTATATATTTTTGTATTTCTGAATATAAAAGTTCTTTACATAATAAAAATCAGGTATGAATTTGATTTCCACTATAAAATCAACATTCATAGACATGAGAAGTGATATCTGGCCAAATATAAATTGATTTAAACCAAAATAAAAATCATACTATAGCATTCAATTCAATATACTAGTATATCTTTATTTTGTGGGGAAAGTTATTCAACTTCAATCCTCTGCACCCACCTTTCCTGCTGTAAGTCTAACTGCATCTTAGGTTTATGAGTGTGACTGAAATGTCTAAAGCCAAGTCAAGAGTTCGCTCCCTGCTGTGTACATATAAAAATTGTTTGAAGACTTTTCTTTGCAAAATATAACATGAACACTTTTTTGAAATATACATATAAACAGTATTTGATAACCATCAATAATCATTAAATAAAATCAAGTCTAAACCTGACATTTCCAGTTTTTAATGTGGTTACAATTAAAGAAATTTTCAAGAATTCTTTGCCCAATTTCTTTTTAGTCAAGGATCTTTCTTTCATATTTACTTCCCCTCATTCTAAGTCGAGCTGCTTTTCTAAACAGAATAAAACTCTTGCAGAATTAAAATGCTAATGTTTATTTACTTCATATTTTACTTTCTAGTATGTATTAAATACCTGTTTTTGTCACTATACACTAGAGAGTAATCCACACACAATATGAATGTGACCTTACCTTCTGGTTTGTTGTTTTTCTTCTTCAGCCATTTTTCTACTGTCTCCGCACTAACACTTTCAAATACGAATTCATCTAGTACCTGGGGGTTAAGAGAAAGATATGCCTTCACTTTTTCATCTGTCAAACCTGTAAAAGAATTGAAAAAGAATAAAATTAACCTATATGACAACTTTATATATATCAAAAATATATAAAAAGGATACATTATGACAAGATTAACATAAACATAAAGTAACAACATATATACATACAGTAGAGTATTATTCATCCATAAAAGGACTGAAGTGCTGACATATGCTACAATATGGAGGAAACATGAAAACAGTGTAAGTACAGTAAGTCAGACACAAAGGACAGATACATGAAGTATCTAGAACAGGCAAATTCATGGAGACAAGCAGATCAGGGGTTCCCAGGGGTTGAGGGAGAGGAGAATGGGGAATTATTGCTTAATGGGTAAAGTTTCTGTTTTGGAGTTTTGGGTGAAGGCAAAGTTTTGGACGTGGACGGGGTAATGAGAGCACACATTGTGAGTAATTAATACTGAAGTATACACTTGAAATAGTTAAAATGGAAAATTTCATGTTATATATATTTAACCATGATAAAATAGTTTAAAAAAAGGAAAGTTAGAACTTTAGTGATTTTAAACTATAGATATTGCACCATGTTGCATAGTTGCTTTCCAACACCATATCACAATGCTGAACATGAAGCGATGCTGTGGTCCAGTGCCACGCGGTTAAGCCTTACCAAGTACTTACGTGTTTTTGTAAATAGTTATCACAGCCTTAATACTCAAGGTAAATGAAACTCTAGAAATACTAGCAAACAGGAAATAGACCTCTGGTATATTCTGGTGCTAAAAAAATGTTTAACAAATAAATAGTCTTTTATAGTTTACAACACAAATTGTCCTTTTTCTAAGGGGCACTAAGTTCAATGATATAACTAATGTTTAGTTCAGAATAGTCTCAACATTTGTTCATTTATATTCTATGTCTGTAGTCAGTTCCACTGAAGTTATTTCCATAGTCTAATAATAGCTGTTAAATATGCAAAGGATTTTCAAACAGAGTACTTTTTACATGTGTCCATGTTAAATATATAAAATTATGTTTCCAAATTGGTACTTCATGTTGATATGCCATTTCATTAAACAACTCCAAATCATAAACAGGCTATTAACAATTATTACTCAGTGATGATATTTATTTTTACTACTGTATCCTCTCTGAATCAATAAATTACCATCCTTAGGGATGGTTAGGTGCACAAGGCAACAGAAAATTGTACTTCAATGCGGAAAAGAAAAGGAAGCATGTTTTTATGACTCCAGGGAGTAGGCTACGTGTTTTCACCACCAGACAAGACAAAGAATTCATATGTGTTAATTAATTCTGCTGGGGACTAACATCACAATTGTTATGATTCAACAACAGAATGGTATCATTGAAAAGCAAATGACTTTTTCCAAAGAATTCATCACTTAGTCAACTTAAACTAGGGAGATAGATAGATAGATAGATAGATGGATGATAGATAGAGATATAGTTACGGATATGTAATTATAGAGTTGTGGTAGACAAAAGGAAAACAAGACCCCTGTCTATGCTCACCCTGCAAAAGAGCCCCAGTGAGATAAAAACTCAATTTGAGAAATTCTGCAAGGTGCTAAAGGTAAGCGACTCATAAAAGGAAGAAAGAGCTCTCCTGACAGAGCAAGTTACAGTCAGATACGAAAGGCACAGGATGCTTAAGTAAGCTAAGAGCTAACTTGACCTTCAACGGACAATGTGAATTCCATACTGTCTCTGATGATGTCCTCTACGGTGGTACTTATTCAACATTTGATTCCTTCTTAAAACTTCCTTCCATTTCTTCTCTGACACAATACTGTATAGTTCTTATCCTAACTTTTTTGCTCCTGACTCCTGCTTTCTCTTCAATAACCTATGATGATGACAGCAAGATCTGAATCAGTACTTTTAGCCTATTTTTGACCTCCAGTTCTTGGATATTCTTCCATCACCTTAAGCCCCATCTTGACTTAAAACCAAATGAGTCATCTCTTCCCTACTTATTCCCAAAGTGATTTGAACTCTCAACTTTACTTTTTATTGGTACTATTGCTCTTCATTTTCCCAGGAACCCAGGCTAAAAATATAGTTACAACTGACTCATCCCTCCTTGTCACCTCATTTCACCTTTAGTGCATTATTTTACAAGTCCTATTTGCCAATCACATATCGGATAAAGGATCTGTATCTAAAACATGCCAAGAGTACTTAAAACCCAACAAGAAAACAAATAACCCAATTAAAAATGAGTCAACATCTGCACAGACACTTCACCAAAGATACATATATATGGCAAATAAGCATGTGAAAACATGTTCAGTTGTCATAGTGAACTCAAAACAGAAATGATATTCCACTATGTATCTATTAGAATGGTTAAAATTCAAAGTTATCAATTTTGGCAAGAATGTGGAATGACAAAAATTCTCATTCATTGCTGGTAACAATGCAAAATAGCAGTCACTTTGGAAGACTGTTTGGCAGTTTCTTATAAAGCTAATTGTTACTGTAGGATCATATGACCCAGCTGTCACACTACCAAGTATTTACCCAACTGATCTGAAGACTTGCCCATGTGAATGTTTATAGCAGCTTTATTCATGGACATCCAGAACTAGAAACATGCTCCCCTGCAGAAGAATCCCACATAGTTTATGTAGATACTCCACCCTCAAGAAAGTGGGGAGTAACTCCCCACTACTTGACATTTATATAAATTACTCAAAAGTAAGTTTTTAAATATCAATTGAGTCGTGAATGAATTATGATATGTAAGTAAAAGGCTAGACTAAAAAATTAATCAATCCTGGATTTAAGTGTGGAGCAGAGAATGAGAAGGCAAATAGACCATTTGGTTGTAAACTCCATTTAGACCACCACATGTTCTCACACAGCTCTGTATCTCAAATGTCAAGAGGTCTTCTAAGTATAACTTTCTCCCCAAATTACCACTGACGTTTCATGAAAGTAACTGCCTCCTTCAATATGAGAATGAGAGGGGAGGTATTATGCCGTGACTACAGGTAGAGGCAGAGGCTAGTTGCCTCCTTCCCCTGTTCCCCAGGGCCTGAGCCTGGAGGAAGCAGCTCAAGTCTCCAGGCCTGGCTTCTTACTTCTATGGGAAGGGAATAATAGCAGTATTGATGTCACAGGGGCATTATAATAATCAAATGAGATAATCCACACGGAGCATGTTTGCCCCGTATACTCAATAGTACCAAAAAGCCATTTTCATCTGCATGCAGCTGACTCTTGCATTTTTCCAGAGGCTCAAATCACATTTAAAACTTCATTTCTTTAATAACAAAAGTCCAAATTTTTTAACCTTCCATTTAATTTTAACATTTAATTTATGCTCACTTTCCTTAGCCATCACAAGCAATCTATCTCATTTTTTTCTAACACTGAATCCATTTTTTAAAAATTATTTTGGAAAATCACTTTCAAATAAAAAGCTAAAGAACTGTTTTTCTCATTTAGAAGGGTATTTTTTAATTACTCAGAAGTACTAAAGAATCTGTTGTTAGAAATAAAAAAAGCACAATTTTTCAGGTATTAAGTCTACCACCTTAATTTGTAGAGAAAAATCCCAATGCATGTCTGGTATTGTTTAAAAGCCAGTCAAAAGCATATGGCAAGAACCCAGCACCTTCCCTCCCACCCTTACCGAGTCCTAGTTCCCAATCCTCATCCCATAGCGCCCTCCTGCTACTCTAAGCCACATCTTCTTAAGAAAATTCTTTCCTCACCAACTGGGTGTCTCATCATCAGATCCCCTGCTTCTCCTCATCACAGAAAAGGGGAAAAAACCCTAAATTCCCATTATCTCACAGTAGCTAATTTCAGCTAGATTACAAGTAACCATACATTTTAAAATTCTAAGATATACATGACTCATAATCTTTTATCTTATTTATAATTGTCACAGATTCATAATTTCCTGTGTGTTTACTCCAGATGTGATGAATATGTAAATAATTTTCAGCTTCCTAAAGCCTTACCCAACTATCAGATAGATTTTGATTAAAAACAAACACAAAACATATTCCTTGCTATTCAATATTATACTATAATAATAGTTCAATTATCAAAGCATAGCCTGAGCAGTGAGGTGCTGAAAGGCAGTTCATACGAATCAGCTGTGACTTACTGCATATGTTTAGATGGAAGAACACAAGATTCTTGGTGGACATTATCACTGCTTACTCTGAAGACTAGTAAGCAAAAAAGGTTAAAAATTTTGGGGTCGGTTTTCCTCTTTCTGTTTTGTTTTTTCCATGTATGAACCCAGGGGGTAAAAACTAGAAGTAACATTTTAGAAGCTGGGTTACAACTCAGTTTCAGGCAGAAATTCGTGGGCAACAAAAGCTTCTATAACCAGATCAGACTATCCCGGCTAAAGATAGAATACTCTCCTACAGCTGTGTGGTTCAGGAGAGGAAAACCCAGTGGTTTTCATAAATCTGTCACAGTCTGAGATGTAACTTTTTTTTAACTACCCAAGAGATGGATGTACATATTTATTTAAAAATAAAAATTCTTATTAGTTTCAAAAGACAGTTCCAAAATATGGCAGAAAAAGTAAATTTTCTACATTATAGTAACATAATGAATCATTTTAGTGTCTTAATAACAAAATCTTAAGTTAAAACAAAATATCCTATGTCATACTAAGCATGCCAGACTGTCATACTTCTCAATGGCAATGATGACTCTTCCGTGCATGTGTCAGGGTGTATGTGTGCACACACACATGCATTCATACAAGTTGCATGTTAATTCTCCCAAGTTGCATATATATGCTTCTATATGCACAACCTTTACTTCTTTATTCAAAAGCAAATGAAGATTAGCAGGGGAATAAGTTTAAAATCAGTTACATTTGCATTCAGAATCCCCAAATTCAACTTCATACACCTTCTGCTTACTAGGTATTTACCTCTCCTATACCTACACTCCAGCTACTTAGCCTTCTTCCCTGTCAAAAGGATAAAACAGCTGACAACATTTGTGAATCCCAGTCAGTCTCACTTGAATACTGTGAAT